AGATTTTGTGTCGCTATTTCATTATACCTGATGATGATTGCTTGTGTTGCAATCGAAACGTCGTATGCTATTATTTAATTTATTATTTTATCTTTATACGTGACTTTACCGAAAGAACCAAAGAATAATTCCTGCAGTCACGAAAGCTCCAAAATTAAGATTAAAGTCCCGGTTGTGTAGCGCCACCTGGCGGTGACGAGCGACGCTTTCGCAAAGCCAAGCGACCGAATCGGCCCCAGGGGTCTCTCCCTCGCTTTGCCCTGGAAGGGAGAGGGGAGAAGGAGGAGGGGTCCCCCTTTTTAAATCCTTTATATTAAGTTCGCGTGCTTGCTTGCTTGCTTAGGACCGTGCAAATCTTTCGGTCGTTTTTTAACCCACTTCCCGTGATCCAATCGAGCTGACATTTTCCACACAGACTCGTTGTGCCAGACAATTATTGTTCGTGAAAAAAAATTCCCAAAATTTTACACTTTTTAGGCAAAAAAAAATTATTTTACATATATTCAAATAGAACTAATTCATGGCTTTGGCTGAACGTCAGAGTGTAAGAGCCAAGAGCGCCCTCGCTTCCCATGCCAAAGGTCGCGGGATCGATCCCCGCGTCCTCCACAGTCGAATATATTTTTAAATCCTTTATATTAAGTTCGCTGCCACGCATATAAAGGATTTATAGTGAAAAACTTTGTTTTTACGGGATTTACTTATTTCCCTTTGAGTCAGAGGTCGCAACCGGGTACCCGATACCCACCTTGGTGCGGTCGGGTACGGGTAGACCGTGAGTCACTGGTGAGTAACTGTTTGTCACTCATTTTCCAACGTCTTGTCTCTTCTCACAATTCAAGTTCCTAGAATCAATCCACCCGCGCCTGCAACATGGCTTCATCCCAGAGGTCGCAATCAGGAACCCGATACCAGTGCCCTACCCGTACCCGGCCGGGTACGGGTAGGGTACGGGTACGGCCGGGTGCGGGTACCCGTTTGCGTTGGTGCGGCCGGGTACGGGTAAGGAATCAAAACCCGTTTGCGACCTCTGCTTTGAGTTCGGCAGTTCAGCATCCTTATTGATTCATGTAATAGTGGGGGGGGGGGGGGGGGGGTGTATGTGTAATATTTAATACTTTTTCTTTTTACTGTGCAGTGCTTTGAGCGAGGGAAAAACGTCGTATAAATAAAAAGCATCATTATTATTATTATTATTCAAGCAAAGCCTGGGCTGCTGGCGAGACGTGTTTCTTTTGTCAACGATCCAGAGTTTTTGCTCGTCTTGAAACAATGCTGTTGAAGGGATGCACTCCCAGGGGGGGGGGGTGGGCGTGTGTCCGTCCGGCTGATAGGTTGTGAAATAAACAATTAGATGTTTGTTTACGTTGGGGGCGGGGGTGTGTGTGAAGGATACGTGAAGGAGACATTGGCTGCTATTTTATGTGGCTCCTAGCCTTTTTGCCCGTCTAAGGACGGGTTGTATTGCAGTAAATTTTGAAACTTGCAAGCAAAAAGCAGACCGCGACGTGATATATTCATTGCATTAATGCGTGTGCAATTTGTAAGGGCGCGGTGACACAGACCTATTTCATTTTAAGGTGATAATCCCTTGTTCATCATGACGTCCTTTTTACTTTGATGTCTCAACAGCGTGACGGAGATCACGTGACGTGAGGGTTCTGCCTTTGTAGTGAGGGTTGTGAGTTGACGCCGAGGAGGGGGGAGGAGACGGCTCGCCCCCCCAGTGACGTCACCCGCTAATTATTATGAATTTGGGGGGGGGGTGTCCATTTGTAGGACGTCACCTTCAAATGATTATTAATGTGGGGGGCTGTTCGATGTGGAGTGACGTCACCCGCTCATGATTATTAATGAGGGGGAGGGTGCTCCATGTGGAGTGACGTCACCTGTTCATGATTATTAATGAGGGGGGGGTGCTCCATGTGGAGTGACGTCACCTGTTCATGATTATTAATGAGGGGGGAGAGTGCTCCATGTGGAGTGACGTCACCTGTTCATGATTATTAATGAGGGGGGAGGGTGCTCCATGTGGAGTGACGTCACCCGCTCATGATTATTAATGTGGGGGGGCTGTTCGATGTGGAGTGACGTCACTTGCGCATGATTATTAGTGAGGGGGGGGGGATACTCCATATTGAGTGACGTCACCCGCTCATGATTATTAATGAGGGAGGAGGGTGCTCCATGTGGATTGACGCCACCTGTTCATAATTATTCATTAGGGGGGCTGGTCGACGTGGAGTGACGTCACGAGCGTTCTACACAGACATTCTTGGCTCATTATAGTAGATAATAATAATGGCGGGGGTGTCCATTTGGAGGACGTCACGTGCTAATGATTATTAATGAGGAGGGGTGGAAGGGGTGTCCATTTGGAGGACGTCAGCTTTTAATGAATATTAATGAGGGGGGCTGCTCGATGTGGAGTGACGTCACGAGCGTTAAGGACAGACATTCCTGGGTGATTAGAGCAACACGTGATTTGGTAATGCTGATGCGTTGGCAGTGGTGCACAAGCGCAATGACCCAAAACAACTCAACACGTTCACTAATAACACCGTGACCTTAAACAAAAATACATATGATAGGCAGAGTCTTGGGCAGTGGGCCTTTTTTCAGAGCACATGTAAATAGGTCAGAGAGATTGAATTAGTTATATGAGCTGGAGATTAAACTTTACACCATGGGGCCTGGTGGCGAGATGTTAATTCCATATCTTGGCATATAAGCGAGATTGAGTTCAATCCCGACCCTGACTCCTGTATATTTGGAGTTTTCACGTCTCTGTTCCCCGTGATGGCGTGGACTTTTCTCCGGGTCTTCCGTTTTTCCCCTTCACATTTAGAATCAACATACGTTTAGTGTATTTGGCTGCTATAAATTTGGACGTGATAAGCCACTTCCATGGGATATCATTTGTGGCCAGGTCGCTTCTGAAAAGGAGCTGTATAACTCAGTGGTGGGTCTTATCTGGTAAATAAACAAAACATTTAGTTTTAAGTTAAACATTTTTAAAAAATGCTGATGAACAGTTTTCAAATCGGCATTTGATTACTGTAGTTGCCTAATTGTAGCTATTGGGGATAACAACAATAACAAACATGTACTATTGTGTAAATTGGTCCATGTTTATTTTTGGGAGCGTTCCTTATGAGTCCTCGCGTCTGCCAGGGCTTACATAACGCAATCGTAAATGTGTTATAAGTTGGTGTTTTTGTTTGAAGACGAGCTGTGTGCGCGCTGATTGTTGCTGAACACCCTGGTGACATTTTGTTCTTCAAGTTACAAAATCATTGACAACACTCCAGGCAGCGGACTGCAGAAAGTTGCTGCAACTGAATGACACAATTAGCGTTTATGCATCAGGGACTCTTCATAAAGTCGGTCTTATTGAGCAGGAGATAAGTTTTCGGAATTACATTTTCATTCTCCACGGCGATGATAATTGTCTCGATAATATTTCACAAACGGGCACTGGAATGGTATCCATGAGTCGGTAGGCCAAGGGAAGACTAAAGAGCAGATGGTGGGAGACTGTCAGGGACAAATCTTGGAGGTCGTTTTTGCCTCTATTGTGCTTTGTGTCTATTGCGTTTTGCCTCTATTGTGTTTGTGTCTATTGTGTCTATTGTGTTTTATGTCTATTGTGTTTTGTGTATATTGCGGTTTGTCTATTGTGCTCTGTGTCTATTGTGTTTTGTGTCTATTGTGCTCTGTGTCTATTGTGTTTTGTGTCTATTGTGTTTTGTGTCTATTATGTTTTCTGTCTATTGTGCTTTGTGTCTATTGTGCAACAGGAGCTGCGTGATCTGGCGGAGTCGAACGCGTTGGCAATGAGGTGTGGTGTCATCAACAACTTTGGCCACGGTGAAACACGTTGACCGTGATTGCTGGTTTCGTACACAGTTGTCAGGCTCCCAACAATGCCAACCGAAGCGGTAGGCTGCTCTTCACCGCACACCATTGTTGGCACACAAAAACAATTGTTTACTAATATTGCGGAAATATTAGTCATATTCCGGTTATTATTTTATTATTTTATTTGCTGTACCGTATTGAGAATACAAAATTTCATGACCATTGGATTTGGAATCCCAGAAAACACCACCGGGAAACAATGTTCACAATGTGGGCTTTTTCAGGGGTCCTTTAGTTCACGGAGCTGCAGAGGACTACATAGCCGAGTGTAATATACCGCACGTGGCCAGGGATCGGCCAACCTGTTGCTCCGTAGCCGTATTGCAGCTCTTAACGGACTGCTCCGTGACGTAAGGTGTATGTGTTGACGTGCGTCGCGGCTCTTAAAATATCGAGTTTCGGACCGAATTCTAAAAAAAAATGCCTCTTCTTGTACTAGACCAGGGGTGGGGAACGTCCGGCCCGCGAGCCGTATAAGGCCCGCGAAATCATTTGGTGTGGCCCTGCCAAGGCAACCACAGGCGGGACTCGAAATTCAATACATCTAGGAGCAAACCTGGAAAAGCAGTTGCGAGTAGCAGCAACATCATCAATACCAGCTAACATCACACGCCTCGCCAAAGAGAAGCAGTTCCAGCCATCGCATTAGGGGTGAGTTAATTAAATGTTTGACCAAATATAACAGGCTAATTTTTAAGTTGATAATTTTGTACGGCCCGCGAATGATGTTATAAATATCCAAATGGCCCTTGGCAGAAAAAAGGTTCCCCACCCCTGTACCAGACGGTATGGGTAGGGGTGGAGTGGTTTGGGCATTTGGGCACGGGCGCAATGAACACCCGCAGACCTGAGTTTGCTTTCCGGCCACGGCAAAGTTATTTCAGGATTGTGAACTATAGCCAAACGACAATTCCCCATTACCAACGACAACGTGGAGAGACAGACCTTCGTCCAGCTGTAGATTTACAAAGTGGCTAATTACTACATGTATATATACACACACATTAATGCACTGTAATCTCAAATCAAACATGATCGCGCTACTGTGACAATGAAATGACCTGTTTGTTTTTAAAAGGTTTTGGATTTAATGATTTATTGTTACAAAAAAAATACATTAACAAAACAGTGTAAAATGAGCAATGGCAATACATGTACAAAGTGTAAATTTGTGCATTTTTTTTGTATAAGCAGTTCATGCAGCTCCTGGCTGGACTGAAAGCACCACGACACATCTCAGTGCGTTCTTTCTTATTCGTGTAAAAGCACACTCAACGTGCCACCGATTCTGGACAACGGTTTGTTGTGAGTAATAAATTTAGCCCGAGATTCCATTGCTCTGTTACAGGCCAACGGTTCTTCTCGACTAAGAGGCCCGCGAGGCCAGATGCGGCCAGGCAAAGAAGGCTCTTCTTGGGAGTGGCCCACTGAGAGATAAGATACACATCAGCGACAAGCGACGCAACGTGGCATGTCAATACACGGCAAGGTGTTGTTAATGTGGCCTGCCGGTAAATATAGTTGAGGAACCACGTTCTAGGTGATAAAAGTCGACATTACCACGATGAGTTAGCACCATTTGTTAAACGCCAAGACTGTTTTCGTTTAGAACTCGAGATATTCGAGCACCGACTTATGTTCTCCATTACCAGGTGCGCATGTTAGACTGTTGTATTAGTCTCAATGATACGGAGGGTTCGGCTGGCAAATTAAAACACATTGTCCAGAGGTATGGCAACGCAACAACATTTCGCAATTGCCCTGTTGTATTTTGACGTGCCGATGTCAGACGGCCGTTTGAAATTGTTCTCATTTAATCTTAACATCATCAACGCACAAGGTTTAAAGCAAGGTGTGTTGGCCAGCAATGCAAATGACACTTTGTTGAATTTATTTATATATAGTACAGTACAATAATGTTCTGAGAGCATTGCCAACTAATTTAATCCTTGTATTATATGACCACAGTAATTGTGAGTTAATAAAATAAAGTGGAAAAAAGTATAAAGAAAATGATGGACGAAGCTTTAAATCATTTCATAGGGCCTTTCAGGCTTATTTGGATAAAATAACAGTATTGTTGAGTTTTAATGTTTTACCCTAAATGGCTCATTTTGATGACTAAATAATCTCGGCCTCGGAGTGTAACTAATGGTCTTTTTTTTTTGGTAGAAACATGAAGTTGATCTGTTACATCGTAGAAAATATCATCAGTACCCATTATTGGGACTTGTGTATGAAACGTTGTAATAATATGGTGCAATACAAAGCAATTTAACAAGACGAATAAACATATTCACTGGGTAGTGGGTTGGGGGGGGGGCGGAAAAAAGGGTTTATATCTCACAGTTATAATTCCAACTTTAGTATATTACTACATCGTAATCTACATCAAGTATGACTGGAAAGTCTACACTCGCACCAACGGTGACAGTCATGAGAGCAGAGGTGGGGAGGGAGGGGGGGGAGGCCCAGGTGGAACAAAGGAGCGGTCCAAAACGACAACGGTTGTTCTTCTTCTTGGTTCTTTCGGTAAAGTCACGTAGAATGGAAATAAAAACATAATAAAAATAAAACATAATAAAATAATTCTCACGACGTTTCGGCCACAACACAAGCAGCCGTCCTCATGTGGGGAACAGGTCTGTCGAGAAGACAGAGTCTGAAGAGTCATTTAGACTATGTCTTCTCGACAGACCTGAGGACGGCTGCTTGCGTTGTGGCCGAAACGTCGCGAGAATGATTTTACTATGTTTTATTTTTATTATTGTATTATTTCCATTCTACGTGACTTTTCCGAAAGAACCAAGAAGATGAATCCCTGCAGTCATGAAAGCTTTAAAAAGAAAGACAACGGTTGTGTTGCCACCGCCGTGAAACTGCCCGCCGAGACTGCAATCGTCCGAGCGGAATCAATGCAAAGCGGACGTATCGATGCAAACACCCCAGCATTAGACGCGTACACCGCACGAGTGCGTCGAACAAAATATCATCATTTAAGGGACTAAATAAACGTTTGAAATACGAAAGCAAATTGAGTACCGACGTTTGCACAAGTGGCAATAGGAGATTCACTTTTACCCTCCACTTTTCCTCCACCCACCTAAACCCCATCTCCCCCTGCCCCCTATACCCCCTTCCCCTCTTGGTAAAAGTTGCAGTATTGTAACTCCTGGAACGTACACATTCCAGCAGATATTTTTTTGGGGAGCCGTGGAATAAAACGTCAGAGAAAGAAGAAGATGAAAGTCCCTCGCCGAGACTCGGTGCGAGTCGAGCGCGGCCGACACTGCGCCTGTACCCGAGATGCAACGCCGACGCCACCGACGTTACCAATGACGCCAAGTGGGGATGCGCACCTCGGCATATTCGCACCAAACCACCTTTTTAAAATCCTTTATATTAAGTTCGCTTGCTTGCTTGCTTAGAACCGTGCAAATCTTTCGGTCGTTTTTTAACCCACTTCCCGTGATCCAATCGAACTGACATTTTCCACACAGACTCGTTGTGCGTGACAATTAATGTTCGTGAAAATTTTTTTTCCAAAATTTTACACTTCTTAGGACTAAAATATTCTATTTAATTACCAATTGCTTAATGGTGCAATGCAATCATCTGACCCATAGGTGGCAGCCATCTCAAGCCAGAGGACGAGAGGACTCTAGCCGCCACGCATATAAAGGATTTATAGTGAAAAACTTTGTTTTTACTGGTTATACTTATTTCCCACTGGCGCATGAGCCACGCCAGCATTGGGGGGGGGGGGGGGGGGTTGTCACGGTACGGGTGGTTTTCCACCACAGGCTATTTGCCGAGTCGAGCCAGAATTAGACCACAATAGCCTGGCCTCGCAAGACGTCTGACGTTTCATATGGCACGCGAAGGGCCGTGCGTAGGAAGCACGCGTCCGTTATGCAAAAACACATCAACAGTTCCCGAAGAACTGCATTGTAGTCCTCTTGTCTTAGGTGACCATCAAGTATAATTTGAGGAAATGTGATTGACAGGCAGCAGTGAGACAGAGAGAGACAACTTTTCATCTTCATTAGGACTCGTCAGTGCGGTATACTCACTAAACGCTCACTGCTGAGAAGTCTGCGTCCAGGAACCATTGATGCAGAGTCCCCACTTCTACACTATGGGGCCTGATGGCTTGGCCAGTGTCAACTATATGGCGAATGCCAAGACATCTGAATCTAGACTCGGCTCCCAGCAGGGCCGTGGATTAACCGGATCGTTTTCCACGGGCCACATGCCGAGCCGAATCAGGAACAGAGCGTTACAACTCTGGCCTCGCAGGACATCTGAATTTGGCTCGGGGTCGAAACGGCGCCAAGGTCACTCGGTGCACGCTTGAACGTGCGATGCCGACACCGTCGCACGTTCACTGCGTGCGGCGTCAGCGGCACGGCACGGCTCAGGTTGTGGAGTGGGAAAAAGAGAAACGACCCCGGCGCCTGCTGAGCTGCGGCTCGGTTGTGCAGTGGAAATCGAGGTAAGAGACTTGCGCGAGAAGCGGACGTGCCATAGTCACACGAGAAACAAAACCCTGATGTTCACGGGGACACCTCGGCACTCTCGATGCCGTGGTCGGCCCCGCGTGGCTCATATTTTGGCACGCCATTCACAACGAACTTGCTGTGCCTCAGCTACGTATTTTTTACACATCGATGCACCTTGTGATATATATATGTTTGCACAGACAGGCGGAACGCACAATAAGGGAACGGCTCACTTTCGTATGAGCATTCAAGACCGTTTTCAAAAATACAGATCTGAGGATGAACATCTTTGTTTTAAAGTCCGATAGGCATGCTACATTTACAATAAGTAGATCTAAACACTGCATCAATAGTGGCTCCCAAACTTTGTGCTGCAACCTGCAAAAAATGGTTATGGATTGCACTTTCAATATATATGGAAACCACTGTACTAGACCACAAAAAAGTGTAATATCAATACCAAAAACATCGAAAGCAATTAGCATCATCTCCCTTTTGTTTGCTTTTTTTTCATTTGACTTCTCACTAAAATAGAAATGTACACGTGAACAATGTCCCTGTTTGTGTTGTGCCGCGTAACTTACGCACAATTATTAAAACCTGACGAAGAATGTTACGTCTTTAAAAAAAAAACAAGTTATAATTACTGTTTGTGAGAAAATAAAAAAAATCAACACTGAAGAAGTGAACTGACTTTGTGGTCTTTAATTGTTAACTTATTTGATGATTTTTTTTCTCTTTACTCATTCCCCCCAGCTCTGCGTTGTTGTGTCGGCAGGGTTTGGAGAAGGCGCAGTCGAGCGGGCGTGATTCCACGCCGGATTTTACTCAGCGCCGCAGACGGAGGAGCTGGAGTCGGGAAATCCTCCCCAGAGCCAGACTCCGAAGACGTGAGTGAGTCTTAACGGCGAGAGGATAAAACACATTTTGTGCAGATATGAACAAAACGCGATTCATATCATAACAACTTTCATTTGTAGCAGAGCGCCGCGCAGTTAATTCGTGCCTCCCACAGAGAGAGAGAGAGGGAATGACTCGGAGGCGCGAGGAACCACAGACAAGCAGGAAGGCAGCCACGTGGTGAGCCGTTGCCAACAATTGCCCTGTTGAGCACATGTATTAGTCACGCGGGCAAAAAGGAAATGCCTATTCACGTTAAAATTTGAGTGCATGTTATAGGCGAAAAACAAACAAAAAGTTACAAGAAATTATGTAAACGCTTGTCAAACCGATGTTGAAATTGTTAACGCATTATATCCGCTCCGTGTGGCTAACGAGTGGGTATGATAACGCTTGTAAAGACTGTTAAGGACATAAAGACATGAAGTTTATTTTGTTTAACCGAGCGAAAATTTAAGAGACCTGGATTAGTCTCGTTTGCAAAAATGGCCTTGGTCACCAATGAAGCAAATACGAATCAGCGCAAACACAATTGTGTACATGCGTGGTTGTGGGCATGGCCATGTATGAATGATCTTGTGTGTGTATGTAGCCATGTGTGTAGTTGTGTGCGTGTGTGCCACCGTGTGTGTGTGTGTGACTCAGCCTCAAATGAGTACCTTGTGTGGTGTGTAAACATCGCCACTAGGGAGACAAAGGCGGTCGGGCGTGGTGCTGGCCACCCACCCCCTCGTGTACCATTCCGGCCTTCATAGGTGCTCGCTAACAGCACTTGCCCCTACAGTCAGTTAAGGCTATATGGGGATCTTTGTCTTTGTGTGTGACATAACACACACGGTTGAATCAGCCTCCAATAATTCCAAGTGGAAAGTGCCTTATAAAGAAATGTAAATTATTCTTATCACCTGACATGGTGTGCTGGCCTTCAAAAGTGCTTGCTATCAGTGCGTTAAAGGCTATCAGGGTGGATCTATGTGGTTGTGTATGTTTCGATGTACATTCACGTACGACCTCAATGTGAACATCATTTCGTGTTTATCGTGATGTTCTATAAGGGCCCCATGTACGCTATGCAATGTAACCCGTTTTTCAATGCAAAGTCTTTCAATAGAATCATTCTCATACTACCACTCTGAGGGAGAGTTCATAGTTATAACATGTGTAATGTGAGTTTAACCACCACCTACAGCTGTGAGGCATTGCTTGCATTTCACGTAGCAGTTTTTTTCAATGTATAAACGAAACGCTATTAAGTGTTAACGTGTACACATGTAGCCTGTTGTTCGCCTTTAATAAATACATCTATAATTACATGGTTCTCTAAGGGCAGTGGCTAGCAACGTGCATGCAAAAGCCAGATGGCTTTTAAGAGACTTTAGATTCATATTTGTAATTGTAACATCTGGAAAAAATTGTATAATGTTAAAACAAATATACGTGCGCTTGAAATACACCAAGAATAAGGCACCTAAGCGAAATATGAACATCCCATGCAGTGCACAAAACCTGAATCAAGTTTAAATGTGTGTTACAACAATAATGTGTTTTTCCCCCTTTATTCTGGCAACAAAACTGAAACCTTTTTACGAGGAATCATGTGTGCATTAACCACAATACTTGTGGTCAAAATGCGAACAAAAAAAGGGGGAAACCCCTATTATATTTTTGTACTGGCAAAGGAGGTCTAATGATGTAGATGCTTACCCCGAGCCCTCATTACTTTGATAGTGTATTGTCTTTGAGCTGTATGCCTTTTGGCATCCTCTGGTCTAGCACCAATTGAGATGAGGCTCAAAAGAAAGCTGTCTCTGGTGTGGACCAATCAGTTTTAAGGACAATGCATATATTATCAGAGTGTTTTTTTTTTGCATTTTGACCACAAGTATTGTGGTTAGTGCACACATGATTCCTTGTTAAAAGGTTTCAGTTGTGTTGCCGGAAAAAAGGGGAAAACCCCTATTATTATATTTTGGTACTGACAAAGGAGGTCTAATGATGTGTTAATACAACAGCGATTAACATCCGCTTTGTCAATCCACTGCCGGATGAAAACCTCTGCATGTCATGTCGGTGACGGTACTTCTTCACCATACTTTACCATGCTGGTCAATGCGGGTTGGCAAATTGGGGTGTGTTAAACCGGTGCAAATATCACTGACTGCTGATGTTAGTTTTGGCTGGGAAATTTAACTCAGGTTGTCAGCTCCATACGTATACTATAACTATGAAATACAATGGCGTCGACATGGTGGCACGGTTGATTAGGGCACTGCACAATTAATACGGTCCATTTCCCGATCGTGGCTAACATCACTGGCAAAGAATATCTAAACCAGTCCTGGATCCGCTCCCCTTCCACCAACTAACTCTGACCAGCGTGGTAAAGTATGGTAAAACAACCCCCACCCATGACTGACACGTCAGGCATGGTATAATGATACAGGCCTGTAAATTAGATTTGTTTTTTATTATTATTATAAAAAAAATTGTAAGCATATCAACGATTTAACATGGAGAGATTAAAAAACACATCCCAGCATGTTAAGTTGTGTGCTGTATATGCAGTCTTGTGTGTTTTTGTTGGTATAGAAACTATTGACCATGTACTTGGCGATGTAACAGCGTAGTGCTTGCTTGTAATTGTTTGCGCTGGGGATGGGATTGAACGTCAGTCAGGGCAACGTTACACACCGTGCAGTCCCAGCATGTGCTCCAGGATTAGCACCCTCTCGGCCAGAATCTTAAGGGCCTCCCGTAGCTGTTGGATTCCATCTCCCTGCACGCACACATCACGGTAACCCTTATTGACAATCGCAAAAAACCACGTTTCTTTTTTTTTGTTCATTTGCATTTTCAATTTGCTGCTCCGCTGATTAACTGAATGCGTTCGTTGTTGGAATTCCAATTTTGCAGCGGCGTGGAAACCTTCCCCCGCGGATTTTTTTTGTTCCTTTACTTGTCAAACGATCCCTTACAAAATTGAAAGAATAAAACATTCTCAAGTGAATCTCATCACCAGAGTGGATGGATTTCATCAAGCTAGCACGTGCTAAGCCTCCAGCAGGCTGCAAAGCTATTCTGGATCCAGACACAGTGCCAGTGGAACGGTAATTTGTCAATTGTTTTCATATTTGTTGTGTGAACATCTGGTTAATTCGGCGCGTGAAAGCCTACCAGATGGAGGTTCTCCATTAAACTCTTTGAGTGTGCCACGTGGCTTCATCATTGGTGCATAATAACCCGTTATGTCTGTGTGAGAATTTTCAATGATTTAATCACCCGACACTGTTTTAGGCTAGCACAGTCATTGGCACACTGCACAACGAACCCAAAGCGGTCTTGGACACACTCCCCTCTTACTTCGCCAAATTAAAGCAACTTTTCAAAGATCTCTAGAGTAGTGGGAGAAACCTCGCAAGGCACACTGCGCCCAGCTGCCTTGTTCAAAGACGCATTAAGTAATGTTTAAATTATAGCACGGTTGGCTACGTGCGGTGCGAATGAATTATCAACATGAATACAAATGTGTGCGTGTCTTACTGGAGGACCCTTCTCTCCAATATCACCCTTGTTTCCTTTTTCTCCCTGAAACGGGAAAATGACGGCAATGTTCTTTAACAACGAAACAATCCACTGCAGTATCTTCATTTATCGCGAGCATCCTCATCGCATTTGCGAAGAACATTTTCAGCATTACAGCTTTGCAGTCTCTGGGCCACTGCAAGTCCATGGCAATGTCATGAACAAATGAGTAAAAATCGGGGTGGGGGGGGGGGGTGGGGTTGGGGGACCGAATTTGCAGGTCGATATATCGGTAATGTGAGCAGCACATTGAACGGCTGAGCTGCCTTGACCGCAGGATGTTGCTAATTGACTGGTCGCGCGAAAAGATAATTGCGTGGCAACTCACGTGCGTGCCTCTCATGCCAGACTCCCCGGGCCAACCGCGCTCGCCCTGCGGGATAAACACGCGGCAGATAACGTCATCTTTCATCTGCAAAAATCCCCTGACTAGTGCAATGAAATTAAAGGTGTTGTATGTTTTTAATATGTACGGGTTTTTTCTTTTCTTGCAGAACATTTTTTATAAATGCCGTAATCGTCTACCGACCATTTTGCACTTTTCTGAAGAAGAAAATATAATTTCTTGATTTGAAGCTTTCGTGACTGCAAGGATTCATATTCTTAGGTTTTTTGGTAAAGTCACGTAGGTAAAAAATTAAAATTAATAAAAGTAAAATAAAAATAAAATAAAAATCACGACGTTTCGTGATTTAAATTTTTTACCTACGTGACTTTACCGAAAAAACCTAAGAATAAGAAAATAGAAAGCGATTATCCAAAGAACAATCTTATTACCATCCTGCATGTTACATGTTATATCTGCCAGCCGTTATCCAGCCTGCAAACAAAGCCACCGCATTCGTTGGGTGACGAACAAGTTGAAGACAACAGCGGCAAACCTCATCCACACCTCAGCGATCAGTTGCCGCAACTTGGTTGCATGCAACTGGATCGCCTGTACATTTGGACGTCCCTGCAACTGGTTGCGAGCAGTTGCAAGGCAGGTTTCTTACCGCAGAAGACAAGCTGTTTTCCAGCGATCTACTCGCTCATTCGCAAGCGAAGTGGTTCACCACGTCTGTGATTGGTCATTACAATCCCGGTACCACTCTGCACTTTCTTGTCGCGCATTTCGAAGCGCTTAGATGTGGACAAAGCAGTCGCGAGCGATGACCGAGCAGCGCAACCTTGAGTAGCAGTTTTTCTGGTCGCTGCATCTTTCGGCTCAGGTGTGGAGCCGGTTTCATGGAGCGTAACTTTGCGTGTTACCGTACCCTGTCGCCTTTTTCTCCTTTTAATCCCTCTTGCCCTGGTGGTCCCACGGCTCCATTGGAACCCTGGAAGAGGCAAAACACAATATTTACGTTCTCTCGCTTTTCATTGTGTCACTTCATTGACCGTTCGGCTACATGCGTGCACACATACGGCACTTTATTTTTATCCGCAACTGGATGAGGGCCTCTGTTGGTGGTGGTAGTGGGAGGTTTTGACCGCGCCTCACCACGCTCCGCAGTGCGGGGCTGGTGAAGGCGGAGAGCACAGCTGTTGGAGTGTAGTACGGTACAACGGTGGATTTTGCCGCATTAACTCCCTGCCGACAACATCCAAGTGCCATGCAGACTCAAGCCTGCTTAGCTTCTGAGATCTGACAAGATCGGACTGATCCGGGCTGATAACTAAACTTACTATTTTTTATTTATTTTTTTATTTTACCAGGTAAGGCCCACTGAGCGATATAGCTATGTTTCAGAAACAATCTGGACACAAATGATAGCTCGAGGAAGTGGCTTATCATGTGGAAATTTACAGCCGCCAAATACTCTAAAGGCATGTTTGTAAATGTGGAGGAGAAAACCGGAGGACCCGGAGAAAAATCCACGCGACCGCGGAAAGAGACACGTAAACTCCAAATACACAGGGGCGTCAGGGTCGGGATGAAACCCACGACCTCCTGCATACCAGGCGAGGGAGTTAACATCTCGCCACCGTGGCACCCTTCTGCATAGCTGCATATGATAAGGTCATAGGGTAGCTATACAGATCATCAACATTTTTTCGCGAGAGCTCCAGATTAATATAGTGTACCGGCCGACGGTACTTGTAAAAGATACTCACGTCTTTCCCTGCGGGGCCATCTGGCCCAATTGGCCCGGCAAGGCCCTCCTGGCCTGTCAGAAAGTGGGAGACATTTAAATAGTAAATAGCGGTCCGTGAATTTATTAAAACCAAAGGATTAAGAACTCCACGCTTAACCATGTAAATCCAGACGGCTATACGCCTTCATGCATAAAATAATTTAATGGAACGGTTGAATAAAATATGGGTTTTTTAAATCTTAATTTGCATCGAAAAAGAACACGTTTCTTTGATTAAAATGTTAATCTTTATAGGTTCGTGCAGCCTTCTTTATTAATGTATGCAGTTTCTGTGACTCAATGTTGATTTCTCATCGCACGCTTTTGAAGGCTTCATATACAGTATATATAACGTATAATTGAACAAGTAGGCTTTCACGATCAATATTATTCATCATAAAGGGGGTTTAATCTTCACTTAAAGCTTTCGTGACTGCAGGAATTCATATTCTTGGGGTCTTTCGGTAAAGTCACGTCGATAGCAATCGTCATCAGGATGACGATCGCTTGTGTTGTGATCAAAACGTCGTAGTAAAGAATATAAAGGGGGTTTCTTGGGGGCTATATCGGGTGGAGGTGGATTCACGACACATTTGCATTACCGCAATCTAACCCAAAAAAATCGTCACCATGGACACAAATATGTTCATATTATCATGTGTTCATAATGACGTTATTATGAACACATAGATAGATAACATATATATACCAATGTAAAGTTTTCGTGACTGCAGGGATTCATCTTCTTGGTTCTTTCGGTAAAGTCACGTAGAAGGGAAATAATAAAATAAAAAAAATAAAACATAATAAAATCAAATAATTCTCACGACGTTTCGGCCACAACGCAAGCAGCCGTCATTCAGTGAAGAACAGGTCTGTCGGAAAGACAGCGTCTGAAGAACAGGTCTGTCGGAAAGACAGCGTCTGAATGACGCTGTCTTTCCGACAGACCTGTTCTTCACCTGAGGACGGCTGCTTGCGTTGTGGCCGAAACGTCGTGAGAATTATTTTATTTTATTATGTTTTATTTTTATTATTTTACTATTTCCCTTCTACGTGACTTTACCGAAAGAACCAAGAAGACATATATATGCCATTTGATTTTCAGTCAACAGTCACCTGGGGACCCAGGTGGTCCAGGCGGGCCTGGCGGTCCTCGCGGACCTGCGATCACTGCGTTGATGACGTCGCTGGAAGGGGCCTTTACTCCTGAAGGCACAGAACAAGTGGCACATTTGAACAGAGTTATACGGGTGACTTAACGGCTCTCGTGACCCTCGTGAACCCATTGAGTTCTCCACCGATTCATCTTCTTGGTTTTTTCGGTAAAGTCACGTAGAATGGAAATAAGACAGACTCTGTCTTCTCGACAGACCTGTTCTCCACCTGAGGACGGCTGCTTGCGTTGTGGCCGAAACGTCGTGAGAATAATTTTATTATGTTTTATTTTTATTATTTTATTATTTTCATTCTACGTAACTTTACCGAAAGAACCAAGAAGATGAATCCCTGCAGTCACGAAAACTTTAAATCGAAAATTTTCCACTGATGTTGAGGACTCGGCCCCCCGGGAAAACAGTTTCGTCTCATCCGTCACACCGCGTTCTACCACTTTACACTTCAAACCGCTTCCCTTTGTGGTGCTGTCTTCACACTGCACAAACTTTATAATTCCTCACCGTCGTCTATCTTGTTTTCCCCTCAAGCTCTTCCAGCCTTGTTCAATCTAGGTAACATGCACAACTCCTATCGATTACAACTTCGGCGGTGCTGTTTGTTACTGGCCGCTTCGCGTTTTTGCTCTTCGGGTCTGTACTCATTCACGAGTTTAACAACAACAACAAATTAGAAATGGAAAACGCACGCGAATGCCGATACTTTCTCTCACATCTCGCTGAGCTAATGGCTTCATTTTTCTAACCACCAGTGCATTAAGCAGAGGGCCATGAAGGTCAGAGCAATGTTTAAACTGCGCATAGTTTACAATCGTTTTTGGCAGCTTGTCATGTCTTGAAAACCCGCTGCGTTGACTGTTTCTGGCACGTGGTTCACGTTGCAGGCGCCCGCACTGCAATTGCCGAAGGCAGGCACGAGAGGGCACCTGCTTCCTAGATCACTGCTTCTCAGTCTCTGTCATTGCAAGGCACCACACGAGCTCGGGCTGAAAGATTTGTGGAAAATATCTAGTTGCGATTTTTCTGACAGATATTGCGATTGCGATGTGATTTGCGATTTTAAAAAGTCAAGTTTCAGTTCAATATTCACCGTGTAATAGATTTAAAACATGTGATGGAGCATTGCCACGTGATACCATCAAAATATGAACTGCTCTATATATTCTAATGCAAGGATGAGAACTTAAAATATATTAATTGCTTCCAAAATTTATTAAAATGTTTTAACTGAAATAGATCAAACATAGAACAATTGTTAAGTTAAATAAGTAAAGTTATAATAATACCGCATAAATATAATAAGAAGTAATAGGACTTTTGAATTCGCAAAAAAATCGCAGCCTTTGCAATTTGCTAATCGCATTGTGTCAAATTGAGATTTCGATTTGAAATCGATTAATCGTTCAGCCCTACCGCGCACACACACACTTTGGAGTTGTCTCGATCTCCGCAGCACACCGAACCCCCCCCCCCCGCTCCTAAAATAAAATCACTATGGGTCCTTCAACCAACAGTGTATTGATCGTGGCTGATGAAGATCTGCGCGCGCGCGCGAGCGTCTCTCTTGCAAGTGATTACGTCGCAATGGGCGAAGTTGGAAATGTGGAATCTCCACAATGGGCGTGTGTCGCGCTGCCCTCGTTCACATCACCCCGTGTCTTCCCCTGTACCCCCCCCCTCTCCCGGCATCTCATCGCCGACTCAATACCGCAGACGCGTGAGGCTCGGGTTTAATCACTCACCCCGGGGGGTGGGTGTAATGGGGCGGTTAGGAAGGAGTTGTATGTTTTGTGTGCCAGTGCGTGCGCATCTACGTGTTTCACTTGGTAATTGTTCTGTTTTATTTGGAGTTTCGTGCCTTCTGTGTTCATTTCGACTTCTGCGTTTGTCTCTTTAATTGCTTTGCGTTGACGTCCGTTTGTCTACGTGTTTGTTCATTATTTATTTCATCGTGCGCGCGTGTGTGTGTGTGTTAATCGATTCCAAAATATCATGGCACACCTGGGACTTTTCCATACCACACACACACATCCAGAAACGCCACACGTAATATTATATAAACCAACCTAATACGTCGCCTATTTTACGTTTTTTCCTCTTAAAACCTGACTGTGTTGAGTTTTTTTATAACCAAATAATATATTTCCTCCATGGATTTCTAAATTCCCGATGCAATTAAGGCTCATAATCCCGGTTGCATTGAGGGTCTGAGTCTGTTCTTTTTTATGCGATATACAATATCACAGTCTTATATTTTCCTTTTTATAAATAAATCAACATACGTTGACTGTAGCATCTACGTGAATGCCAGTGAATTGTCGAACCCATAAGTTTTTTTATCTATCAAATCCAACTATCAGGAGTTTTGTTTTGTTTCAAGGGTAATTATTTACATTTTCTTTACCTATAAGTTTACTGTCTATAATTGCAATATAAAAGTATTTGAAAATTTCATTATTATTTTAACGTATGCAATTATTGCCTAGCCGCAAAAGATTAGTTTCAGTTCAAGGGTAATTGGTGAACTTATCAATGAGTGAATTTTAAAATTAAACTCATCGATAACACGCGTGCGTGTTATTTTAAGAATCTTAAATCCTCCACGCAATATTTACGAGCTGCACCGTGAACATTTATATTCACTGACTCCAAGCTGTAAATGTGTCGTACAAATTCCTCTTCTTTACAGCCCTTTGCCAATCCACTCCTGGATGAGGGCCATCCGATACCCACGTCGGCCATGGAGATTGCCTGACCATACTTCACCACGTTTCGTCAATATGGGCAAACGCTCGCTGGTGTGTAATTGCCATTTCATATTCCTAGGCATTTAGAATTAAAGAAAACATCTTGTAAAAGAGCGTGCATTTAAGCGCACACACACACATTTGCCAAAATTAACTCAAGTAAATGGTCAGACGAATGTCTGACGAAGTCTCAGGGTTATTCCACCAGGGATAATTGTTGATCCGGCCACCCATGGAGAGATCTGCTAAATTTGACGTAAATTTAAAGGCTACGTTTTTTCTTTCAATTGATTCTGCAGCCCAACCCTTTCAACCCCTTGATTACCATGCAAACAACAGGGGAATGCACAAGGTCTGCATGAATCACCAAAAAAAACCCCAATAGAAACCCAGCACTGTGGTACAGCGGTTTGATATATTCATCGGGCTTCTAGGCAAAGTCCTACAAATCACGATTAAGGCAAATGAAACAAAGAGTCCCATTATAAGCACTGCTTGTATGCACATTTTTTGGCATCCATACAATTCCTCCCCGGTGTAAATATAAAATGTTACGATGTGGGTCTCCGCCTTTGTGCTCTGTATCCTGATGTGTGCTTTATTTCGGGTTGCACCGCATGCTGTTGGACGCCAAACGTCCAACAATTGGCTTCACGTGATGGGAGCCTCTTCAAGGACCGAAAACGTGATCTTGAACAAGCTGCCGGTGCATCGCTCCGCATGGCGAACTTCCGTAACTGAAGAAGTTCCAAGCACGAGGAGTAAAAAAAAAATATGTCGGGCGTCACGCAGAACACGAAAAAAAGCACGTGGTACAACCAGAAAACACATCGGAAGAGCTATCAAAAATGTTGGTGGGGTAAACTGACTTGTGCATTCCCTGCCCACTTGAAGGCCAACGATAGGCTGCTACAAGATGTGGATTACGCACGTGCAAGAGGTCATGTGACTGGATGATTTTGCTCATTCTTTGGCGTGATCTCACCTAAAATAAGTAATGGGTGCCCAGAAAAATATGTGGTGCCTAACTTGGAATAGAGACCCGGAATAGATGAGACCAAAACCGTGGCAGTCGGTGCCCAATTTAAAAGAAATGCCTAACTCGAATGCTCTTCCTTGACAATCGAATTACTCAATGATGCTTGTTTTCACTGTCGCAGTGGCATGCTAATCATTCACATGAAAAGCGCAGTTGAAATGTCCGATTAGATCATCTTGTAGGGTGGCTCAGACGTCTGTAGCCCCGGTTTCTCTTTTATACCCTGAACACTCGCGTGAAAACGAAATGATTAGTTAAAGACGACGTATAGACTCAACCTGTAGATTGTGCATCGATTTCTAAAGATACATTTCAAATTCTATCTTTAAAGAAAGATTCAACAAAACCAAGGAAGCAGCGGTACATTTACGGAGTTGTGCCACAGCGGTTGGAGTACCGCACTTTGAACCCGGAAACCTGAGTTTGATTCCCGATCACAGTGGCGAAGTATGGTCAAACATCCCCCATGATTAACACGCCGTGAGAAGGCATTTATTCAGTAGTGGATTAACAAACGGTCGTATGCAGTTATTAATTTATTCAATGAACGTGTGATCACCTCCGCTCAGCTATGCACGATCTTGCTGACGAGTTACCGCTCTCCACTGAGAATGGGAAAAGCGAGTAATGTGTACACCTGTTACACCTGGCGTGAACCTGAGGTCGTATAACCCTCACGCAACGCCAGCTCATTTCACCCGTGAAATCGAAAACAACCCACGACTCATCTTTCATTAATTGCGGCAGCCTACGTGATAAAGAAATGCAATTTTTTGCACGACGGCTCGCCGGTTTCATCAATCCGCTCTCCTGAACGACAACGTCGGTGCACGTTCAGTGCTTGTGTTTGGTGCGGTGTTGATCCGTCTGGGATGAAGAGGAAGGTTCGCTCAAAAAAGGTACATCTTCGCCAAGACGAGCAGGAGGAGGCAAACAGTGATGCTGATAATGATGATGATGGTGGTGTTGTCTGTTCCTCGTTGATTTAATTGGGCACCCTTGGTTCTGAAGTAAATGGGAGCGGGGTGAAAGCCACCCAGACTTGAGCTGCACACAAAATGAGCAATGAAAGGCAGTTTGCTGTTTACCCAGGGGCCATCCCGCTAATTGGCTCGTATGGCTCGTGCAGTCCTCGAGTTGTGCCAAAAACAAAGTGACCCCCTTTATTTTTTTCAGTGCCGCTGAAGCTTTTTTCACAAAGGACACGACCCATTTAAAAAAAATCTAACTAACACCCAGGGAAAAGCT